TATTATTTTATGTTTTTTGGATTAATGCTAGCCTTGTTGGGGTGAGATGGTATCTCATTGTAGTTTTGATTTGCATTTCTCTAATGGCTAATGATTGTGAGCATTTCCTCATGTGTCTGTTAGTTGCCTGAATGTCTTCTTTGGTGAAGTGTTTGTTCATATCCTTTGCCTATTTTTTAATTGGATTATTTGTCTTTTTGTTGTTGAGGTGTTGCAGTATTTTCTAGATTCTAGAGATTAGACCCTTATTGGATATGTCTTAGCCAAAATTTTTTTCCCAGTCTGTAGGTTCTCTTTTTACTCTTTTGGTGAAGTCTTTTGTTTGATTTTTAGGAGCTCCCAGTTACTTAGTTTCTCTTCTGGTGTCTGTGCCTTGTTAGTTATGGTTTGTATCCTATTCATGCTGTGTATTAGGGCTTACTCAGTTTTTTCTGAGAGCCACTTGTATCCTAAGCACCATTCTGGGCCCTGAGGAGAGAAAACCAACTAAGACATGGCCTCGGCATCTGGTGTCCAGCCTCCTGTGAGGAAGCGGGTGGTGGGCATTGAGGGCCCAGCAGAGGGCTCGAGCCCTCAGTAGTATGGGGTCTTACGAGCAGAGGGTGGGGTCAGCAGGGCAGGCCTGAGGTTGAGTCCAGCTCTTGGCTCTGCTACTTGCCAGCTAGGTGACCATGGGCCAGTCACTTCTCCTGAGGCCTTGTGTCCTCACTTACCTAACGAGGATCCTGAGAATGACATCAGAAAGCGAGATCTACAAAGTGCTTTAGCTCTGTGCTGACCAAATGTACTCACTCATTCCATTGAGCACCTACTATGTGCTGGGCACAGGGGCCGCAGCAGGGAACAGGACAAAGGCCCACCGTCATGGAATTCACTCTTGGGATGAAACAACCAGCCCATCACTTGCTCTGTAAGAGCAGATCAGGCAGTCAGAAGTGCCTTTAAGAAACATACAGCCAGGTGTCTTCATTTCCTTATGCTGCTATGACAGAAATACCACAAGTGGGTGACTTTAAGGAACAGAAATTTGTTTTCTCACAGTTCAGGAGGCTAGAAGTCCTAAGTCAGGGCACTGGCTCTAGGGGAAAGTCTCTGTCGGCTCTGGGGGAAGGTCCTTGTCTCTTGCAGCTTCTGCAGCCCTGGTGTTTCTCAGTTCCATGGAGATCTTCATATGGCATTTACCACCCCCACCCCCCACTGTCGTGTGTCCCCTACCCCACCCCATTTGTATTTGCTTCTGTGTCTATTCTGCTCTTTTTTTATTCAGGAGTAATTAGGTCTAGGGCACACCCTACACTGATATGGCCTCATTAGCATAACAAAGAAATCCTATTTCCAATACAGTTATGTTTACAGGTATTAGGGTTAGAATTCCAACACTTATTTCTGGGAGATACAATTCAATCCATAACACAGGGCGAGGGGCTAAAAAGTAGAGAAGGGAGCTGGTTATATGGGGTTATCAGGGAGGCCTCTGATGAGGTGACATTTGAGCAGGGCCCTGAATGAAATAAGAGTCATGCAGCTGGTGGAGTGGGTCCCTGGCAGAGGAAGCAGTCGGTGCAAAGGCCCTGAGGCAGAAATGTGCTGGTGTTTGAGAAGGGCTGGGGGGATATGGAGGTGAGAAGGTTGGAAAGACAGCCAGATCACATAAGTACTGACAAATCCTAGGCCTCGGTGGTCACTGGATGTTGTAGGAGCCCTGGGTTTGGAGGGTTATGGGCCTGGTGGTGGGCTGTTGGCAGAGGACTTGTCTAAGAAAGATGAAGACACACTGCACAGTCCCCTCCCATCCTGACGGACGGGGAACAGAGCAAAGTGACCTTCGAGGCCTGCTGCAGGCAATGCTGTGAGCAGATGGCAGGTCCTTTGGGAAGCTGGGAGGGCGGGCTCCACATTAATCCCATGGATGGCTTCAAAAGAGCCCTTGCCCCCATAGCACGCGTGGAGCTTCTCCATGAGAAATGCATTGTTTGGAAGTGGATCAAGTTGTGGCCTCCCAGAATGCTGCCCTTTTGAAGAACGGCTTGTCTTTAAAGGGAAGAAAAAACCCAAATAGAATGTTCATCTTTTGTAAAGTTTAAAAAAAAAAAAAGACTCAGCCTCCAAGGCTGAGAATCGATATTAATTTCATGGGCTTCTGGGCGGTGAGATAAAGCCGGCTCTGGCAGCCGTTCCCAGTCCAGTTGGATTTTACAATCTTGAAACCATGAAACGAAAAGCACATAAAGGGATTGAGGGGTCTGCCCAGCTCTAGCCTTCTCGGGCCAGAGCTCATCCCCATTCCCCGCCCTCCGCCCCAGTTTACAGCATACCGAAAGGCACATTGGGATGATGGGAAATGGTGGCTTGAGTCCCCAAAGATAGCTAACCCCAAGGATAGTTGGGGTCATGGCGTGCAGAGGAATTATAAGGCACCTAGGGTGGAGGCAGGAGAGGACGACAGGGTCATGCTGGCAAGTTGACCTCCTACGGACATTCGGGGCACATCTGTCCACCTACCTGGGCCCATCAGTTGGGACACCCAACTCCCTGTAGCCACATTTGGTTTCATGCCCGGGCCGCTGGGCGCAGCTCCATCGAGGCAGGGCCCCTGCCCTTCCTTTCTTCCACTCCCCTGTGAATAGTGCCACCTGCACCAGCTAACCTGGGCATCCCCCCAACCCCCCGCACTGCCTCTGTGGGATCCATCCTGGGGCCTGTTGGTTTTTCTTTCTGAACCTCAGCACCCCCCACTCCAGCTTCTTGGCACAGTCTACACAGCTGACCCTGGCCCCTCGCCAGCCTCCCCCCTTGTATCTTTGCTACAGCCACTTTGAGCATCTAATCCCATGAATGTGCCAGCTCTACTGCCTCCAGGCTCTGCACAACTGTTCCCCTATTGGGAATACTTGCACTTTCTGCCTTTGCCCTGGTCACTTCTTATTCTTCCTTCAGTTCTCAGCTTACACATCCCACTGGGGAAAGTCTCCCCGGACCTTCTCCCTGCTCCCCTCCCTCCCCCAGTTTCCAGACTGAGCTAGGTTTCCTCACATGTGCTGAGTACATAGTAGGTGCTCAAAGTTGAATGAATGAATGAAGAGGTGAGGGAAGGTGCCTGTCCACTCAAGGGCTGAAATGGGGAGGTGGCTGCAGTTGGTGGAGGCACATTGGGCTGGCCAGCATGAACGCCCCGGCCCTGTCTCCAGCTCTCTGGGATAGCTCCTCCCTGGCATCTGCTCCCTCCTCTGAAAGTGGGGAGGGTGGGAGAGTGGAGTCCAGGACTGCCCCAAGTCCTGCCCAGCTCCTTGGGCTTCAGGGTCAGTGTGGACCGTACTCTTCTCGCCCTGCAGGCCCCCGGCTTTGAAGATCTTGCTGACCAACACCAAAGTGCCCCGCAGAACCAAGGCACTTGTGGCCGGTGTCAGGAACAGGCTGATCAAGGTACTCCTTGTCCAACCCTGGGCGGGTTTCAGGGCAGGCCACAAGTCACATTTGGACTGATGCGGGGGGGCGTGGGGGGAAGGGGCGGGACAGTGGCCCAGGGAGACTTGGGCTGGTGGTGTTGGCAGAGAAAAAAGTGCTGTTTGTGCCTCACTTCAGCCAGGAGGCGGGACAGGGATTCCTGAAAGAATAGTGATCTGGCTAGTTAAACACACTGGCTTTGAAGGATTTCATCTCCTGATGTCAGGGTAGCCGGGCAGGGCAAAGACCAGGCCGGAAAGAGAAGAGAGTTCCTCAGAGGATGGGTATAGGATGTGGGCACTCCCCACCCCCATTGCTGGGCAGCTGTCCGGTGTCGGCCTGCCCCTAGGCCTCACAGACCTTTCCTTCCCCTCTAGTTCCCAGAGATCGTGGCCCCACTACTCACCTCAATAAATGCCATCGCCCTGGAGTGCGAGCGGGTGCTGGGAGAGATGGCGGCTGACCCGACCCCGGAGCAGTACCTTGTTCTGGAAGTAAGAGTCTGTGCACAGGATCCAGGGTTACTCAGCTGTCTAGGCTGTGGCTCAGAACCCCCAGGAGCTAGAACACAGCGGCCCAGGCCCTGCCTCTGACCTGCGGGGTCGGCATCCCCCGCCTGGGCCCACACTCGCATGCGTCTGTGCGTGAGCAAGTGTGCCTTACCTTTAAGCCTCTTCCCAGGTGATTCTGAGTCAAAATATGAGGGAATATGCAGGGCAGTGCCTGGTAGGGTAAGTGCGATGGCAGCTGGGGGTCACATGTTCAAAGCGTGCTGGGCCATGTAGGTAGTCGGGGACATTGCTGACATACAGCCCTCCCTCTGTCCAGGAGTGATTTCTTACCTGGCCTCCTCTTCCTGCTATTTTTGCTCACTGCATTTACTTATTCATTCCACAAATATTTATCAATTGCCTGCTGTTAGTCAGATGTGTTCTAAAATTCTTCTTTCAGTGTCGTAACCCTAACTGCTACTATTTGCGTAATTCCAGCGGAGAAGATGAGGCTTCAGGCTCTGTTTTTGACCAGAGTCTGAATCCTGGCTCCACCCCTGCTGGCCTCACTGAGAGTCCTAGGAATGCAGTGAGATCCGGTGGGTGATGCACCGAGCATGCAGCACAGGGCCTGGTGGGCCACCAGCTCAGTAAATCAGGGTCATGGGCTGGTGAATGTGGGCTGACATTGAAAAGCCATCTGGCTCCCTCTGAAGAATCAGAAGACCAGGCGACCCCAAGCCGACGTGGCCGTGTGGCAGCCATCCACTGGAGTCGCAGAAGGGCTGCCCCCTTGAGAGGGGCCTTGTGCGCTCCAATGCACCGCAATCCTCACCACTCCCTAACCTTTCACCCACAGGCTGCTACAGTCATTGCTTGGTGCCTCCCTGTCCCCTGTAGGCAGTTGAGTCTGCAGCCCCTGTAGTGAATGGAAGCTGCTTCTGTACCAACCAGTTTCACACATAGTTTCTCATTTGATCCTCACAGCAGCCTACCTGTGAAGCAAGTATATTGTTCCCGTTTTTCAGATGTAAAAACAGAGGCCTAAAGAAAGTGAGTTTCTCCAAGGTTACTCAGCTTGTGAATTGCTGAGCCAGGGGTCAAACTGACTTATTTATTCCTTTCTTCAGCAAATCTTTAATGGGCACATGCTATGGGCCAGGCGCAGGGGCACCATTGAATTCCTGTGCCTTTGCCCTCATTCTCCCAGCCGTCTGCCTCCATCCCCCAGCATTTGCCTTCCTGGCTCTCAATTCCTTTCACGTAGAAAAGAGGCAACACAGTCCTCCTGAGTCGGAAATTAATAATGATAGAGTACTGCCTAAAATATACCCTGTTGAGCCCCCAGAGAATGCCACAGAACAGCACGTTGATTATACATTGTGTATATTTTTGGCTGTGGCAGCCTCTGAAATGCACAGCTCGGCTCCCGGACAGCTTCGCGCTCAAACCAGCGAGCTGTTCTCCTGTGTCATAACCTGTCATCCAATTCTTGACAGATTTTGGATCAGAATGTGACAGGTATCTGGAACCTGCCTCGGCAGCATGACACCTGGCGCTCAGGCACAGAGCGAGGCCACCAGAAGTTTTCGCTCACATCCAGCCCACGGGGCTGCCACCGGGCCATCATGCCTGTCTGGTCGTTTGTCAGAAGTACTGGGGCGTGGTAGGCAGGGATGCAGGGGAGGGCTGACCCAACTCTGCCCGCATGGCCGTCCCCAGGGCAGGAGAGCCAGGTGGGCCTCAGCGGAGATATCTCAGTAATTGGCAGCCCTCACAGCACACAGGCGCTCACAGTACCTGGGATCCAGACAGCACACTGTTGAACCACACTCTGCAAACGCAGTGCTCTCCCCAGAAGTGGGTGGGAGCCGGGATGCCGAGAGCACTTGGAGGCAGTGTGGATGTGAGCTGGCTTGGCACCTTACTGGCTTCGGTGATCTTAAGCAAGTCACTTTCCTCTCTGAGCCACAGTTTCCCTCTTTGTAAAATGAGGCCGATGGTAACGTACCTATAAAATACTAACAGCAGCCTGTGTTTACAGGGCACTTACCTTGTGCCAGGCATTGTATGAAAGACTTGCCTCATTTTGGCTTCACGGCAATGAGGTAGATACTCTTATGATCCCTGTTTTACAAGGGGAGAAACCAAGGCTTGGAGAGAAGGGCTTTGCCCGAGGACACTGGCCAAGAAGTGGCAGAGCTGGGATGTAAACGCATGCCTGCTTGACCCCAGATCCACGTTCTTAACTTCCTGATGGCAGGGACCATGACTGGGCTTATTTTTACAGCCCCAGCATCTAGCATGGTGCCTGGCATATTGTAGGCATTTGGCAAACACTGACAGAGTAAATGAAATGTGAATAGAAGATGCTTGGGCAGTGATAACTATTAGTTTTATTATTTCACCAACCTGCATCTCGCTTGATCCTCAGGAGAACAGGAATTTTATTATGCATAATCGAAGAAGCCTAGACAAGCTTTTAACTACTTCTCCCACTCATGAGCTTGCTGGGACTAAAACCGAGTTCTTAGTTTGAAAATCAGTCCCTGAGGCAGCTGTCGGAGGGCATATTATTTGAGATGTTTTTTCTCTTGCAAATGACAGAAATCCAACTCAACCAAGTTTTAGCAGAAAGGGCATTTGTATACCCATAACTGAGAAGACCAGGGATTAGTAGATTCAGGCATAGCTGGATCCAGGGGCTGTAACTATGTGGTTGGGAATTATTCTCCATCTTCATGTAATCTCTAACCACGTGGCAGGGAAGATGACTCCGGCAGCGTGTGTGTGAAGTCAACCAGTTTTAGCAATTCCAGGGGAAAGAAGCAGAGAAAAACCCTGGGAGGGTTCTGATTAGCCCAGCTTGGGCCACATGCCCACATCCGACCTATCACTGTGGCCAGAGAGAGGGTTTCTGTGGCCAGGCCTGGGACATGTGCTTACCACCATGGTGGAAGGTGAGCTCAGCTCCATCCAAAACCCATGGGGAGTCCTGCAGGACGGAGGATTTCTTTTACCAGTGGAGGGGGACCGTATGCAGATGGTCATGGCCATTTGCTGTCCCAAACCAGCAGCTGTCCAGAGGGACGGGCCTGTCAGTGGGCCCAGGATGTCAGCCTCAGGTAGGTCAAGCAGGAACTAAGCTTTCTCCTCTAGGAGCTCATCGACATGAACCAGCACCATCTGAACGCCCTCGGTGTGGGCCACGCCTCGCTGGACCAGCTCTGCCGGGTGACCATGGCTCACGGACTGCACAGCAAGCTCACTGGAGCAGGCGGTGGTGGCTGTGGCATCACACTCCTCAAGCCAGGTACCCAGGAACGGGCAGGGGCGCCAGCCTGGGATCAGGGTAGGGAAGAGGCTTGTCAACGAGTCTCTGCTTTGTGGCCTTGGGCGAATTAGTTAACCTCTCTGGTCCTTTGTTTCCTCATTGGTAAAATGAGGGTGACAGCAACTAGCTTGCAAAATTGTTAATCATAGTCAAGGAGAAAAATGCAGTTAGAGAGCCTGGCACAGGGCTGGCCTAGTGGTTGGGGCTTGTTTTGTGGTGGACACTCTTACTGCCTCTTTGCCTGCCAGCCTGCTCACACACCTGAGAAATAAATGTTGCAACCACCCACATCAGCCTCACATCGCCTGCTCTCGCTGACATGCCCGGGATAGGGATTGACTGTGCTACAAAACAAAGTGGTTTCTTTCCCATTGGTCTTTGGGGAAAGAGCAAGACTGAGTTCTGGGCTCACGGAAGCCCCCTGTGCTGGTGACCAGGGAGGCCACCCTGCCCACTACATCTGGTCTCAAGATTGTTCCTGGCCCACAGTCAGCACTAAATGTCACCATCTGCCTCTGTTTCCTCCTTTGCTCTTTGCCCACTCCTTTCTAGTCTCCTTTCTCTGCTCTGTTTCCCCCTCTTTATCTCCTCCTCCTCCTTCCTCTTTTCATCCTTTTTTACCCCTTTGTTTTGCAATGAGCCCCCCATTGGCCCCAAAGGTATCCCCTAACCTGCAGTGGTGACTCCCAGGCCTCAGGAGGTGGCCGCCTCCTCACTTCTGGTTGATGGCTGGTTCCTAGTGTGGAGTCGATGACAATGATGAGAGTTCACATTTCTGGTGTGTGTGATGTGCCAGGTGCTGTCCCAAGCACTTACTGCATGGTCTCATTAAGGTTCTCACAGTAACCCTTGAGAGGTAGGTATCATTGGTCCCATTCCCAGATGAGGAGACTGAGGGTCAGAGAGGTGAAGTCACTTGTCTGAGTCTGCACAGTCAATAAATGGTGAGAACAGGTCTGTGTGAATCCAGAGCCTGTGCTTTTTATTTATTTATTTGTTTTCCTTAATTGTGGTAAATACATTTAACAATATTTGCCATCTCAACATTTCTCACATGTACAGTTGAATGGCATTGTGTTCATCATATCATGCAACCATTACCATTATCCACCTCCAGATTTTTCATCACCCTTAACAGAAGCTCATTGTCCCCTAAACAGTGTGTCTTCCTTTCCACCTCCTTCCCACTCACCTCTGGTTACCAGTAATCAACCTTGGTCTCTATACACTTGCCCATTCTAGATATTTCACGTAAGTGGAATCATACAATATTTGTCTTTTCGTGACTGACTTATTTCACTCAACATGATGTTTTCAACATCCATCTTTGTTGTAGCATGTATTAGTACTTCATTCCTTTTTATGGCTGAGTAATGTTCCACTGTGTGTATGTACTACATTTTGTTTATCCCTCCATCTGTTGATGGACACTTGAGCTGTTTCCACCTTTTAGGTATTGTGAATAGTGCTGCAGCAAGTGTTTGTGTACAAGTATCTGTTTACGTTCCTGCTTTCAATTCTGTGTTCAGCTTTCTGAGGAACCGCCACGCTGCTCTCCCCAGCAGCCGCACCATTTTACGGCCCTACCAGCAACGCGAAGGTTCCTATTTCTCCACATCCTTGGTCAGGAATCGCTCTCCAGCACCTGTTGTTTTCCATTTTTTTAACCATAGCCATCGTAGTGGGCCTGGAGCCTGTGCTTTTAACTGTCCCTTCATAAGCCCCCCAGGGAGGGTGCAGGCTCACGTTCCAGCACATGGAGGGGCTGCAGACGGCCTCCCTGAGCAGCCCTGCCCTGTTGGTGGGGTGGGGTTCACAGCTGGGAAGAGCTGGGCAGGAGGAAGACCTGATCTCAGGGCCTCTCCCTTGTGCAGGGATGGGCATTCTCCGAGGGTACTGACAGTGCCAGTGGTGACCTGCTGCTTTCCCTCCCCCAGATGTGGAGCAGCCGGCAGTGGAGGCCACCAAGCAGGCCCTGACTGGCTGCGGGTTTGACTGCTGGGAAACCAGCATCGGTGCCCCTGGTGTCTCTGTCCACTTGGCCACCTCCCTGGACGCCCCCATCCGGCAAGCCCTGGATGGCCTCTGAGATGAGCCGTGGTGCTGCAGCCCCTCCAGGAAGCCACTTCCTGGGTTCTGGGTGCTGGAGTTGGCCTCCGCCAGCCAGTGGGCGCCCCAGCTCTTCTGTGATGCCCTTCCTGTGGTGGTGTGCCTCCAGTGCCAGCAGTGGGGCTGCAGGACCTGCAGTGGACTGGCTACCGGGGAGACTCTGTCTGCATTCTGCACGCTCTCTGGGCAGGTCAGGCAGCCGGGCCACGTGGGGTCCTCTGAGACCTGAGGCAGGAGAGCTGCTCTGCCATCCTCCTGGGAGCTCCCACAGACCCATCTGCTCTGGGCCTCTGCCTTCACCTTTAAGATTCCTGGCTGACTTGGATGCTCAGATGCAGGGTGTTTGGTTTCTGCAGCAGCGTGCCTTCTCTGTCCCCTCTGCCTGTACCCTCCTACTTGCCTCCCAGGGCCCAGACCCCTCCCACCTCCACCAGGAAGCCGCCCTGGATAGCAGGGTGACGCTTGCCCAACCATCCTCCCAGCACACCTTCAGTCTGTTCCAATAACTCAGCACCGTGCGTAGCTGCCTCACACCTCCCCGCACCCTTCCTGTGGGCCTGCCCTTCTCGCCAGCTGGACCTTGACTCCTCCAGGGGGCGTCCAGCAGTGGTCTCTACCCTTGGGAGCTCCATCCATGCCAGGTGCACAGGTTCAAGCGTTGGCTGAAGACGGGACGGATCTGCGGTTTCCTCCGATCTGTACCTGAGCAGTCTGCAGAAAAGATGGAAAGGGGGAGTAAAAAGCTCTCGATTCCACAGGGCTTCCCTCTGTGTCCAGGAAGAAGGCCAAGGATCCAGTGGACTCCAGACCACCCATACCGTTTGCCTCGTGCTCCTGTCCCTGCTGCAGCCCTTTTTCCTCAGAACTCTTCAGGAGTTGAAGTAAATAAAGGGGTTTGCATTACGTTGCTTGTGTTTTGGGGACAGGATAGGAGTCCTGGGAGGTTTTCACAGGTGGCTTCTGCTGGGCAGGAATAGATGTGCCATGCCGTTGTCGGGCTCCTGGTCTTACAGCGTGGCTCCAGGCTGCTTTCCTAAAAAGGGGAGTTTTAAGCTTCCTGTCCCTGAGATCACAGCACCCATCCATTCACAGACTTTTGTAAGCCATAGACAAAAGCCTGTTGTAGCTCCTAGAACATTCCTTCTTTCTGAAATTGGTTGGGTGGAGAAAACAGACACTCAGGTTAAGTGCTCATAGCCCAGTGCCTGGCACCTACCTGGCCCTGTTTGAACTTTTTATTTACTGCTGGCTTGGCTCTTTCTGAAATGGCAGAACCCATCAGAAGACCCTCTCAGCTGAGCACATTGCCAGCTCTGGGAGCCCCAGATCTGCAAGAGGCAGGGCACAAAGTTGGCTTTGGGGTAGGATTTAAAATTGGCTCCATGCACTTCTGCCCTTGGCCACTAGGGGGCAGCTGGCGCCTTTCCCAGTGTCTTCAGGGGGAGGGTGGCACGGAGCTGGGCTTAAGAGCAGCTACTGAGCTCTGCCCCCTACGCCTGTCCTCTCTCCGTGCTCTGCCTTGGGTCATTGCCAGCAGTGTGATATGATAGAAAGGATGCCTGCAGTGGCTTACCTAGTAAAAATGGTCCCAGCATCACTGATGGGGGTCTGCCACGCCTCAAAACACAATGCAGAAAACAATAATGCTAATTCTTTATGAGCCCTTACCTTGTGCCAGGCACTGTTTTAAGCACTGTACATATATCATCTCTTTAAATCTCTACCCCAACCATGGAAGGCAACTGCTAGACTTGTCCCCATCTTCCAGATAGGAAACTGAGGCTCAGAGAGGTTGAGTAACTTGTCCAAGGCCACACAGCTAATCAGACAGTCTGACTCCACAGCACGGCCCCGTGCACGTTTGTTGCTACTACCATTGCCTCTGGTGGTGCAGTGGTTAAGTGCTTGGCTGCTAACCGAAAGGTCAGCAGTTCAAACCCACCAGCCCCTGCTCGGGAGAAGATGTAAAGGTTACAGCCTAGGAAACCCTATGGGACAGTTCTACCCTGTCCAGTAGTGTTGCTATGAGTTGGAATTGACTTGATGGCAGTGGGTTTTTCACTGTTGCCTCACCTTCCAGGCTCTGGCTCATTATTTCCTCTCAGTTCTGATGTGCTTGGTCAGGGGTGGATCCTCGGCTTGGGTGTTTTTCTAAAGCTCCCCAGACAATTTTAATGAGCACCCAGGGCTGCGAGGCACTGTTCTCGGGGATGATGTTGATTCCGGCCATTAGGAGGTGGTCCTGGGAGTCTCCTTAAGGCTTCCATAGCTGCCCATGGCAGCTGTAGAGCCTGCGCGCGCGCGTGCGTGTGTGTGCGTGTGTGTGTGTGTGAGAGAGAGAAACCGACCTGTCACGCTTGCCCCAATGAAGTGGCCACCTGCAGGCCTTGGCCAGCACAGCCCTTCGCCTCGCCCCAGTCACAGCCACCATGTGGATCCAGTTTCACGCACTCCTGGCCACCTGTCTGATAGCACATTTGCAGGCAATTTGTATTTCCAGCAGTTACCCCTTCTCTCCTTCCTGCCTGCACATCAGAATCACCTGGGGAGCTTTTTAAAAGCACCCCGGAACACCTGGCTCCACCCTAGAGCTTCTGACGTAATTGGTCTCAGCAGGACCCTCTCCCTGGTAGTTTTAAAAAGCTCCCAGGTGATTTTGATGTGTTGCCAGGGCTGAGGACACAGCTAGATGACCCCTATGGTCACTTGTGAGTCAAGGCCCACAGACCCAGGCCTCCAATGCCATCATGGTGGCTGAGAGTTCCCACTCTGCCACCCTCTGCCACCTTGAGCAAGCCTGCTCACCTCTGTAGGCTGTGATCGCCTCACCTGGAAAATGAGAATAACGACGGTACCGACCCGATAGAGGTTTCCAGAAGATTGAATGAGAAAGTATGCCTGGCACATAGTAAGTGTTCAACAAATATTCATGTTTTAAGTGTCTTATTAAACTGAAAGGTAGGGTGTCTCTCAGAGCCCAGAAAGCTCAGAACAGCACACTGGTTTGTGCAAACCCCCTAGGTTGGAACCCCTTTGGGTTGCTGTTGGAGAAATGCAGCTAGTGCCCATGGCTTTCCCGCCTCCCGACTAACTCTCCGAAAAGACTGTCACAAGTCAGCAGCACTGTCTTTGCCGGCAGAGGATGGCAGTTTCTCAAGTCGAATTTGGAGCCGCTCCCAACCTCTCCAGCCAGTTGTGGATTTAACACCTACCCTCACAGCCTCAGTTCACAGAAAATCCCCCAGTTCTGGCTGAGTCTCGCATTCGGAGACAGGCAGCAAATATTGTGACTCACAACGAGAGGATTGCTGCTTCGTGTGCGCCAGCGTTCTTCCTGCCAGTGAGGATTCTTGCTCCCCGAGCGTGTCGCCCTTGGACTGCTGGGGCCCTTGGTCAGCAGGCTTTGGCAGCTCCTAAAGAGCTACCAACCAACCTTTACTGAGCACCTTTTGTGTGCCCTGCGTGGTGCTGAGTGCCTTGTATGCCTTGTCCCTGTGAATCCTCTCAGTTGCAGGAGATATCTATTCTTATCCCTATTCTGCTGATGAGTAAATGAGGCCCAGGGAGGGGAAGTGACTTGCCTAGGGTCACACAGCAAGGAAGTGGCCAAATGGGGACTTGAACCCACATCTGTGCAACTCCAGAGCCCCACTCTTGGCCTCTGTTCTGTACTGTTTTCTCAGGGAGAGGACCTCCCAAAGCCTCCTCTCCTCTCCCTGCCTAATGGATGTCATTGAATAGTCACATCCACCCAGTGGTGCCAACCTAACTCATCCCTCCTGCCCCTCGGCCCTCATCACCCTCATGCCTCAGGGCCCACCTGCCGCCCTGCCACGAAACAAACGGGGTAAGTGGGGTGAAACTGCCAAAGAACACGATGTAGTGTTCCCCTTGCACGGAATTCTGCCTAGAGCCACCACCTCCCCACGTGCAAGGAAAACCTGGGCACTGGGTAGAAAGAGTGCCACACCTGTATTTTCTCAAAACAAATGGACCAAGCAGTAGTCTCCAGCATGACCCAAACAAATGTTTCAGTTGCTTATAATTAGAACCCAGCAGTCAGGGTCAGGAGAGCCCTTTGAGATCACACTGTCCAACACCTCTTTTGCTGCTGATGGGGAGACCAAGGCCCAGAGAGGGCAAGAAACCTGCCTAAGGTCACACAGCAGCTGTCTTGTCCTCTTTCTTCTCTTCTGGTTTTCCCCTCACTTTCCCTCCTAATCCCACAAATGCTCACCCACCCACCCACCTGGAACAAAATCAGCGGGGTATCACAAGGAGAGCACTGTACTCAGAGTCCACAGACCTGCTGACCGCATGTCTGCCCCTCAGGGCCTCAGTTTCCTTGTATGTAAAACAGGGCCTTGTTCCGTGCCAGGCAGTGTGCTAGCCCTAACAGGCGTTGCCGCGTTTAATTTCTACCACAGCCTTGAGGGACGGCTTCCACAGGTCTGTGACTTACCCACATGTGAGTTGGAATTGATAACTTCTCAGGCTTTAGGAATAGACACCCTCTGTTTCATGCCTGGTGGCGGCCCAGGCATCACTACCCCTGTTTCTACAGCGAAAGGTATAAAGAGTCCACCCAGTAGGGTAAAGATCATCGTCGTGTTCATCCATGTGGCATTTGCTGCTAAGTGAGTTTTGGTGCCCGGCTCTGGGTTTCATAGCATTTTGGATTATGGCCCTCAATTAGTTTCCTGTTTTGCAGAGACGCAGACAGAGGCTCCCTCAGAGAGGTTCAGTGACTTGCCCAAGGCCACAGAGCTAGGAGGGGGTGGAGCTGGATTTGAACCCCATAGGTCTGGCTGGAGACAAGCTTCCCATACTTCAGAGTCTGACCCAGTGGCCATCTTTGTCCCTTAGGGGCTGGGAAACTGTCCTGCACAGTCCGGGCTGTGAGGGTGATGGACGCTGGGCCCCAGGTACACTGGCTCAAGCTCTGAAGTCAGACCAGAGTCATTCATCTTACTAATTTTT